CCGTGAAAACATGTTAGTTCCCCTTGCTGGGAGTGGTCCACTGATGAATGACTGAACTTCAAGTCTTTGAAGTGTTTCAAAGAGTTCACGGAAATCCTTTTTAAGGAGTTCTGAATGCTCTTTCCGAATATCATTCTTCCCCACATGGATGATGATTCGATTTGCAGTCTTGTGCTTCATTAGAATTTTCCGAAGTTTTTCTCTGTTCACATCAGAGACAGTTGCTTGAGGAAAGCAGCATGTAGTTGTAGTCCTGGTACTAATGTTTCTGATAATATAGTCACCCACTATCAGAGTTCTGGGCTCGGCTGTGCTCTGAGCTGAATGCCGCTGTCTGCTCCATCTTGAGCGGCTGTTAATAGCGATGTTAGCTGCTGGCTGATCCGATTAATGTTTTACCACATTTGGGTATTCCTCACCCATTAAAACTTCAAATCGGTTTTCAAGATGTATAGGAGGTGGTAGAATACCAGTGTTTGCAAGCATTGTCATAGCCCTATCTGGGGTAGAGGATGCTATAATCTGATGTCTCTACTGCCTTTGGGTCTTGCTCCCTGTTTGTGCCATCGATTAGTGTGTCAATCAGTTTTGGCTTGTTCCGCTACACTTGGTATAAACTGTTGAGATTCAATAGATTCATGGGACTCACCGGCTGTATGCTGAGGGGGTCCGTGATTTGACAGTCTGCTGTGTGTTCCACCTGTTTTGGAAGTCCAGCAAGTAACTTTGTTTCAAGAATCGCAACTCTTTGTAAAAGTTTATGGCAAAGTTCATGAAGCAAGTAGATTCCACAAGAGGCATTTTCTTTTTCATCTGTTTGAATGTAGGCAGCTGTTTTCCCGTCTCCGGAATGCAAACTGCTGGCAGTAGGAGGCAAGGAGTCTTCTTTTTCGTGGTATTATTCCAGTCCATGTAAAAGAGTTTTTAGTTTTAGTGTTTCTGCCTAAAATGTGTTCTTTGAGCACTGTGCTGATCTGCTGGAGATAGAATCTTAGAAAAATCAGAGAAAAGTGCATAAACGGTAGCAAAGCCGGAAGCGCGTATCCAGGTAGGATAAAGATTAATTTCTTTAGTGACTACAGACTGTTTAAAAGACCAATTGTGAATGTCTTGGAAGTATACATTTTTATAAAATTGTTTATATTTTTTACAAATGCATGCAAACCATTAAATTAAGACAAACAACTGAGGACTTTGCATGTCGAAAAGTGACGCTAAAGTGGTACCTTGAGCGTCAAAAAGCAACGCCAAGGGGGCCTTACCAAGTGTCAATATGTGACGAGTTTGGAGTGAGAACGTGTTGGTTGTGCATCGCCAAAGTTACGAAGCTGAAAGTTCAATGCAAACGAAGATATCGTCTTTTAAAATTCTGGCAGTTTAATGCCTACAAAAACGGCTGGTAAGGGACTACAACGAGTTACATCGAGTTACATAGTTGGTGCGTGACATCACAAACCCAGATAAAGGGAAAAGGCAGCAAAGGGGGCAAGGCCATGTTGCGCTGCTTTAGAGAAGAGGAAGTGAAAACTAGAGGTGCACATAAAAATCTATTCATATATGAATCGCGATTCTGTCTTCCAAGGATTCCAAAGGATTCACAAGTTTCAAAATTAATGTCCTAAAGCAGCAGTTCTTAATCCTGTTCCTTGCGTCCCCCTGCTCTGCACACTCTCTGCATCTCTCTCTCTCTCTCTCTCTCTCGCTCTCTCTATCTCTCTCTCATTCAGCTCACCTCCAACAATAAACTGTTACAATTATACACTTATTTTCACATAGCTATGAGAAGCGTTAAACATGGACGCGCGTGCAGTTGCCGTACTGTATTAAAGCTTTAATCAGGATAAAACTGTATATTAAAAGCTAACATAAGCAGTAGCATTTACAAATAACAGCGTATCTAAAAGTATGAGACAACAACGAACAAAAAACATAGGCCTACCATTAAAAGCCGTGCTTGCACAAGTTCTGCACGATCCTCTTCAATAATATCCTCTGCTTCTCAATCAGGCTCAAACTGATAAGCGATATTAACGATGCAGTTGTTTACAAGACAACCGGAGCACATGCCGCCAAGGTGAGGGGCGGCACCCTTAGACGCGCACTAGAGGCGGTTTTCCAATCACAACGCACTGGGCTAGCTAACCAATCAGAGCCCATCTCCTATTTCTGAGGGACGGTCTTCATAAAAGAAGGAAATTATCAGCCCGTTTCTCAGAGAAGGGACAGAGAGGTGTGGAATAAAGGTAAATTATGTGAAAAATAATGTTTTTTGTTTATTTTAAACGAAGCATTAACACATGTTAGACTGCACCCCATAAACACAATCAAGCCTAGAAAAAAACCCAGTGAACCACCCCGTTAAACACTCAAAGTACACAGTGCCAGGTACAAAGCCAGAGCTACATTTTTAGTAAGTGCCTGTAATTGTTCTAGGGTTAGGTTAAGTGCTTGTGGAAGAGGTTTGTCTTCTGCTGCTTCTTGAAAGTTCTGATGGTCTCATCAGATCAGGTGAAGTTTAGTTCATTCCACCAGAGAGGAACAGAGAGGGTGAAGGTTCTGGAAAGTGACTTTGTGGCTAGTTGTAAAGGAACATCTAGGAACAAGTTTCTTCCATATTGCATGTAATAATACATACTACTTATAGAAATAAATTGTAATGCTCGGCCTTATAGGAAGATCTTACATTGATTAAAAGGGGTCAGATTATACTGTGTGAGGTAAATAAAGTGTTTTTAAAAAGATGAGACAAATGACAAAAAGTAGAATGCAAAAATAGTGTATTTGCATAATGCACAAGGAACTTAAAACAACACAATAAAACAAGAATAACTTAGGCTGTTAAAAGCAGATTGTCCAGTTGAATGGTACCCTAAAACAGTCCTTAAGAATCTTAGTGTGTTGAAATTCCAAGGTAAAAGTGTCCACCGGTGTATATTAGTGATGGGACGATTGATACAGAGGCTCCGATGCTCCGACGCAGTTTTCAAAGCACTATTGTATCACACACTGTGCCGATGCTTGTATCAAAATGACAATACCACGTGATTGATGACGTTTGAAGCTTCGAACGTCATGTGGTATGTAAAACATGTAAAACCATTCAAACTCAAATATATAGATATAAAACCATCTTAATATATATTGAGCGGTAAAAACATGTCTTTGTGTGACAGTGTCACAAAATTATTGCATATTATATATCATAATGTTACATTTGTTACTGAAAAATGAAGTGGAATCAGCCTTTTATAATATAAAATAAAAGGGAGGAAATATCCCACTTCATGTCAAACCTTAAATTGGAACAAAGGCATTCTGTCTATTTATACCAGATAGTGGTCAGTAGAAAATAAACATTGCTACTAAATAATAGCAGATAACTTCAAATAAATACACTAAGCTTCATTGAAATATTAACTTTAGCCAAAGTCTATTAAGCCTACTTTTGTAACCCACAGGCAATGTTATCTGAATTAAAACATTGAAAAGTCATGGACATGCCTTAGTCATACAATATGTGAACAGTGCTTTCTGATAATATCCCATCTTTTATTATTAGTAACATGGTGAACTGTTGCTAAAATGTGTTTTACTCCCGATGGACCGACACTCCTCACTCCAACTCTGCTCCCTACTCTAAAATAGCATTTAATTTAAAATGAAGCATTGAGGGCCAAAGAAGTTCAAAATAACATTCATGAAAATAGCAGAGTTCAACAAACGTTAATCATCAGTCTCAGTGTGTGAAAACAGAAATGCAACTGTTGTTTTTATCCTATAAGATAACTGCAAATCAATCCATATTCATATCACTATTAAACTAATTCTGAAACGCCGTACCATGTGCTTTTCAGTTCAGAAACGGGTTTAAAATTTGTGAGATTTTGACTGGCAGTTGCATAAGGCCAGAGAGGAAGAGAGGAGGTCACATGACTCATGGAAACAGCTGTGGCCACATGTCACAACACAGTTGACAGGCTGGGCTGTGATTACAGCACCAAAGCATCTTTACATTCTCTTCATCATTTAATGTTCTAATTACAGCTCCATCAAAGTCATCGCCTCTTCATGCCTGCTTTAGTTTGTATCAGTGAGATCTGATCTTAACGAAGTAAATTTTGTCATTGTTTACTCCCCTCATATCGTTCAGTGGACACAAAGGAAGATAAACGTTCACATGTTCATACAATGAAAGTGTAAAGGGAAGGCTGAAAAGACACCATGAAGTTTAATGAAAGTGTTTTAAGAGTAGTCTACAGTTTCATTGCTTCGTGTGAGGAACAGGTCAAACTGTAAATATGCATTAATATGACTGCATCACAAAATCCTGTTATAATGACAACATTATTCTTTCATCAACTTATTCCAAGCTTATCACTTTATCTTACTGTACGTTTTGTTAAGATTTTCAGTAGGTTATGACTGAAAATAGTCAACCCTAATATTATGATTTTGTAAAGGAAATAGTTTATGTTGATATGAAGAACTGGATGTTTGTAGAAATAACATGAACTTACAAACATGACCTTGAACACAAGGCTAGTAATGACACGAACTGTAAAGTAATCAACCCTGTCAGGCATATATCTATATCACTACAAACTTCCTATAAAATTTTGCCTGAGATGCCAATGCAATTGAATAACTCTTCCGGACATCATGTGTCTGATAGCATGTTTGAAAGGTTGCAAAATCTACAAATCACCATTTCAGATAGGAAGTTTTGTGGAGTGACCGAACACTGATCTACAGCTGCAGGTCCTCGTATTGTTCAGAGTTTAGTCATATCTAGTGATCCTGATCAATGTGCCACGGATCGCTGAGTGATGATGTCAGCTGAGGGGGGTGTGGGTGGTCTATTCACGGCTCTGTGTGTGTGTGTGAGGAGGGGCGGCCGTGCACTTGTGCAGTCTTTCTTTGGCAGTCTTATTCCTGCCTGGAGCCCAGCTCAGACTGGCAGCAGCAAGCAGACACTGATCATTTCATAGAAACTTCTAGTGTCTTGTGTTCATGATCAGCAGTTGCTCCAGGACTGTGGTGTTTATCAGAGCCGCTGAACTTTGTCATGTCTCTGTGGCGCACACAGCGGAGGTGCACGGCTGGACTCTGCTGCCTCCTGCTCGCTCTCTGCTCCTGGAGCTCAGCGTTTAACCTGGACACAACAACAATCCTCATCAAGGAGGGTGAGGAGGGAAGCTTCTTCGGCTTCTCTTTGGCTTTACACCAGCAGCTCACACCTGAACCTCACAGCTGGTAAGTCTATCAACTGGATTATTGCTTCGGCTCATGTCGAGGGCAAAAGAGCTCATTGCCGAGAATGATTGTGACCTGAAACATGATCTCAGCAGCACTGTTCATTGGTGTCAAAACTTAGATAATACTAGGAATCATATTTTTCTCTTGGAGATTTAGGGTGTTGTGATAAGTCAGTTTGTTAATGTGTGTTTGTGTGAGAAACAGCATTAGATATCTGTCATACTGAATCTCTTTGTGATCAGAGACTGGTCTGTTCATGCTCAGAATAATGTTCAGTCAGTGACACAGCAGATATTGTCGTGCACAGAGACTGTTAAAGCTGGACGCTTGCGTTCTGTCAGACATACAATGAGTGTGTGAGATGAGTTACAGTCAGGAGCATTACGCTGTGCTGAGCTCACTGCTTATTATCAGCTATTATTAGTGGCCAGCATCACTGTTTTTATTGCTCATATAAGTGTGATAATGTAATGAATCCTCTAGCACTAAGCATTATTTATTTAAGGATTTGATTCCACAAATCATGTGGTCTTGCGGAGGAGTTTGTTGCTTTACTAAGTGATCAGTTGCACCGTTTTACCTGCTAGACCAGAAAAGAGGTGAAAAAGACAGCAAGACTAGAATCTGCTAGAGACGTGTACATTGTAATCATGTTTTAACTAATTGTGGGTTATAATGTGTGTTCACTTCCTTTAAAGAACCTTGATCAAATGAATACATACATACATATTAATGTATAAAACAAGTATTTTGTGTGTTGCATGATATCAGCAGTTACATCATCTTTTACACCTTAGAACCAACGCAACTTAATTCATGATCACCCTCCTACACCAGCTACACCATAAACTAAAGTGCTAGTGTGATCCACCAATGAACATACATGAATGTGCATTTATTTGAATGGAAAGTAGCAAAGCATTTTTCCACAGCTTGAATGAGCCTATAGTGCCATAATACAGTAGGTCAGGATGGTTGACTAGCGAACCAATGATCAACTAGTCACTTAATTAGGGCGACGAGTGGTACTGACAGTAACCGTTATACAGTGTGTCTCTAAATTCAGTACTATAGCCATTAATGCAGCACTTTTGTAAGAAATCCATCTCTGATTTCAGTGTACACATGTATACTGTTGTGCCTTTAAGATGTCAAGTTAGAATTGTTTTGAAAATGTGTTTTCAGACACCTGTGATCTGATCTCTCCAGCGGGAGCACATCCAGTGTCGCATCTGATCCCGTATGATGTAAGGTGACCAGACGTGCCGCTTACCGGGGACATGCAAACAACCAACACCTGGTTATTTTGGGCAATTTAGAAATCCTGTGCAGAACGTGTCCCCAGGAAGTGGCACGTCTGGTCACCTGACTGTATAATCAGACTGGTTTAGGGACCACCATACTAAGGTGACCAGAAGTGCCACTTCCCAGGGACACATTATATTTACATTTATTAATTTAGCAATTTTTTTTTATCCAAAGCGACTTACAATTGAGGAATACAATAAGCGATTCATAATAAAGAGGCAAATAAACTTGAGAAGTGCTAGCAATACAAAGTTTTTAGGCATGGTTCAGATTAGTACAAGCTAGACAAGGAGAGATTAAGGAAAGAGAAAGCAGAGAAAGTTTTTTTTTTAGGTTTTTTTAGTCAAATGTTTACGAAAGAGATGAGTTTTCAGGTGGCACTTGAAAATTGTTAGGGATTCAGCATTCTGGATAGGGGTGGGAAGTTCATTCCACCAGCCAGGAACAGTGAACGAAAAAGTTCTGGAAAGTGATTTTGTGCCTCTCTGTGATGGTACCACGAGGCGTCACTCACTCGTAGATCTCAGACTTCTGGAGGAAATGTAGATTCATAATAGTGAGTGGAAGTAGGCGGGTGCTGAGCCTGTGGCTGTTCTATATGCAAGCATCAATGTCTTGAACTTGATGCGAGCTGCAACCGGGAGCCAGTGCAGGGAGATAAAGAGAGGTGTGACATGGGCCCTTTTGGGTTTGTTGAAGACCAGTTGTGCCTCTGCATTCTGAATCATTTGTAAAGGCTTGATTGTGCATGATTGAAGTCCAGCCAGAAGAGCATTGCAGTAGTCCAGCCTAGAAGTGACAAGGGTCTGGACAAAAAGTTGTGCAGAATGCTCCGTTAGGAAGGGCCTGATCTTTCTGATGTTGTGCAATGCAAACCTGCAAGATCGAGCAGTTTTTGCAATTTGGTCTTTGAAAGTCAGCTAGTCATCGAAGATTACACCAAGATTTCTGACTGAACTTGATGGGGTAATTGTTGATGAACCTAACTGGATGGTGAAATCATGCTGTAGAGTTGGAGTGGCAGGGAAGACAAGAAGCTCAGTCTTTGCCAGGTTGAGCTGTAGGTGATGTTCTTTCATCCATGCCAAGATGTCCACCAGGCAGTCTGAAAAAAAAAAAGCGACTAATATTATATCTGCTCACCAGACGAATATGCACAGAAATTAACTTAGGCTATGTTCATGTTTACAATGTAGAGTATTTTGACTTTGATCTTTGAATGCTGATTTAAAATAAGTAGGTGAGAACCCTCTTAATTTCTCAAAATATCATCACATTTGTGCAATATATATATATATTTAAAAAACAGACAATAAAGCCTAAATATACGCCAGTGTGGAGCACTTTTTGAAGTAAAAAGTGTGAGCTTAGAATTCAGTTTATTTGAATAATAAACATTTGCTTATCTGCCAAACAGACACAGCCTAGGGATATGACAATTTGCATAATAGTATAGATAGGTAAATTCAATATAAACATCTGGATTTCAGTTTAGATTTAGAACTCAGATTTAAAATAGCATTTTAAATAACCTTTTAGCATTATATTTTCTCAGGATTCACTTACTTTATTGGCACACATACTCACCAAACGTCATGCATGGAAGACGGTGATTGGTCGAAAAAAATGATTGACAATATTGTAAACCACTTATTGCAGAGCACGAATGAAAACAGACGAATAGCGGCAAGGGGCGGGCATTTTGAAGTGAGCGAGGAAAAATGGCGACCATCGTGAGGAAGTTGAACGGGACTGTAATGGATTTACCGTACAGTCTGGCGAACAAAATTAGATTATCTACGTTATTCGTATTAATACTCGCTTTTACGAGTAGTAGCTCAGGCGAAAACACATATGAAGATACCACTTACGAATTTCTCAAGCGAGAGTATTCGCTGAGTAAGCCTTACCAAGGTAAGCGTCAATTCCTGTTCCCTCAGTGACGGTAAACCGGTGCCCTGCCAGAAGTTACACCTGTTTTTAAGTCAACTAACGTTAGTTAGAAAAAAAATATTTAAATGAGACCACAGGTTTACAGTTAGGAGGACCACTGTGTCCTTTATTTCTTTTGGTATTGTTTGTTGCCCTTTTCTTGCTCTCGTAACAGTGGCAGTTTTATTTCGCAACTGCAGTGATTTAGTCACAAATCCACAGGGCGGAAGTGCAGGACAGTTAAAGATATTCCGGTTCATGTGCTTCATTAAACAATATGCACTCTGTGTATTTATTACATTCATATTTATAGTTATTCATTTAGCAGACGCTTTTATCCAAAGCGACTTGACGATTTAGGAAAATACAACGTTCATCATAAAGGCAAATAAACACAGGAAGTACTCGTTATACAAAGTGCAGTTCAGATTAGTACAAGCTAGACAAGGAGAGATTAAGGAAAGAGAAAGCAGAGAAAGTTTTTTTTTTAGGTTTTTTTAGTCAAATGTTTACGAAAGAGATGAGTTTTCAGGTGGCACTTGAAAATTGTTAGGGATTCAGCATTCTGGATAGGGGTGGGAAGTTCATTCCACCAGCCAGGAACAGTGAACGAAAAAGTTCTGGAAAGTGATTTTGTGCCTCTCTGTGATGGTACCACGAGGCGTCACTCACTCGTAGATCTCAGACTTCTGGAGGAAATGTAGATTCATAATAGTGAGTGGAAGTAGGCGGGTGCTGAGCCTGTGGCTGTTCTATATGCAAGCATCAATGTCTTGAACTTGATGCGAGCTGCAACCGGGAGCCAGTGCAGGGAGATAAAGAGAGGTGTGACATGGGCCCTTTTGGGTTTGTTGAAGACCAGTTGTGCCTCTGCATTCTGAATCATTTGTAAAGGCTTGATTGTGCATGATTGAAGTCCAGCCAGAAGAGCATTGCAGTAGTCCAGCCTAGAAGTGACAAGGGTCTGGACAAAAAGTTGTGCAGAATGCTCCGTTAGGAAGGGCCTGATCTTTCTGATGTTGTGCAATGCAAACCTGCAAGATCGAGCAGTTTTTGCAATTTGGTCTTTGAAAGTCAGCTAGTCATCGAAGATTACACCAAGATTTCTGACTGAACTTGATGGGGTAATTGTTGATGAACCTAACTGGATGGTGAAATCATGCTGTAGAGTTGGAGTGGCAGGGAAGACAAGAAGCTCAGTCTTTGCCAGGTTGAGCTGTAGGTGATGTTCTTTCATCCATGCCAAGATGTCCACCAGGCAGTCTGAAATCCATGCAGCTACCATCCGATCATCTGGTTGAAATGAGAGATAGAGCTGTGTGTCATTAGCATAGCAGTGGTAGGAGAGACCATATGTCTGTATGATGGGACCCAGTGATGTAGTGTATATGGAGAAGAGGAGGGGTCCAGGAACTGATCCCTGAGGAACTCCAGTGAGCAGCTTTGGAAACCTCCCTTCCCCTGGTCACCTTAAAAGACCTACCAGTGAGATAGGATTCAAACCAGCAAAGTGGAATCCCTGTGATGCCCAGTGATGAGAGGGTGGACAGGAGGATCTGATGATTCACAGCGTCAAAAGTGGCAGATAGATCCAGCAGAATGAGAACTCATGATTTGGAAATGTTCTGCCCAGGATTTCTAAATTGCCTAAAATAACCAGGTGTTAGATGTAGACTGCTCTGCATGCTTTCAAATCGCTCTCGCTGTACTTTGATGTCATACGATCGGTTGGCACAGCACAAACAACGAACACCTCC